ACGGGATTTTGGAAGAAAACTCATAAAACCGTTTTTTCGCCAGGTCGGGAAATTGGAACCGAACGAAACTGAGGTGGCACCCCCAGCAGCGCCTCTGTGCCGGCCCAGCTGAAGCCTCGCTGGCTGCTCCAGGGTGCACGGGCAGACTGGGAGCACTGGGAAGGGGCCCCGGCTCGGGGCGCAGCCCCCGGGGCAGCCCCACGGCCCCCACGGCAGCTCCAAGGCTCCTCCAGCCGGGATGGAACGAGGGAAGGGGAACAGGGGAAGGGGAGAAGGGAAGGGCCGGGACAATGGGAGGCTTCAAAAACATTTATTATAAAAATAAGAAAATGCAGTAAGTAAGAGCAGCAACACCACTGATCCACTAATACTGATAGGGGTCAAACTGGGTCACGCATCTCATAGAATGATTTGTGTTAGGAGTGATCCACAAGGATAGAGTGCAACCCTGAAAGGAATGGCCCCAGTGGGGTCAAATCCCAACCTTGGCATTGTTGGTACCGAGCTCTAACTAAGGTCACATTCCTAAGGCACAAAATATTTTAAAACTGTGTCTATATCTGCATATATACAGACATATAAATAGAAAGTGTAAAAAATATAAAGTGCAAGACAGCAAGGACCCCCCAGCCCCAGCCACGGCAGCCTGACAGTAACGTCCCAAACTCTTCATGCGGGTTCATCTCCTGGTGACCGGGCACTGAGGGGACCCTGAGAGTGGCACTGAGAGCAGACACTGAAGGGACATACTCAGGGGACAGTGAGAGCAGACCCTGAGGTGACCCCAGTCAAGTCACTGGGGACAGTTAGAGCAGACCCTGAGGGTCAGTGCAAGGCAGACGCTGCGGCTGAGGTAGGACATCCCGGTGCAGGGAGTGGGAGGAGGAGCTGAGAGAGCCCAGCACGGAGAAGGAGCTCTGTCCGTCTCCTGTCACAGACGAGTTTGGGCCCTGCTGCAGACAAAGGGTAGTGGATTGGAGCAGGGAGCGCTCCCGAGATGATTCTCAGACAGGTACACACACTCTGCATTGCCTCGGACAGGAACCCTGCAGGGAGGAGCAGAGACAGCGCTGGCACTGCGGGGGGACACCTTGTGCCCCTGTGCCCCCCATCCCCACCCTGTGCTCCCCAGGACTCACGAGGAGTTGAAGCTGCTGCCGTCCCCCCACTGCAGCTCCCGGCCCCGTCTGCGCAGCCTGACCCAGTGATCGCTGTTCCCGCAGAGATGGGAGAGGAACCCCTGGGAAGGAGAGAGGAGCCGGCACTGGGAGCTGCACTCCCGGCCCAGGAGCCCCCCAAGGATCCCCTCAGCCCCCCCAACATCCCTCACTCACCATTTCCCAGTCCTGGAGCACGGCCAGGGAGGCCCCGAGCTCAGAGCACCGAGCCTGAGCCTGATCCCAGCTGAGCAGATCCTTCGAGAGGAAGTAGCAGATCCCACGATATCCAATCCAGTCATGGGGACAGGCCAGCAGCAGCGGAGTATCAGGGATACCTGAATTTTCTGTTTGTGTTCTCCCTGCAGGGAAAAGAGGAGAAGCTCAAAGGATTCCCCTCCGCACGGAGCAGGGACCCCGCTCTGCCCCAGGGGCTG